TCATATGTATGACTACTTTTATTTAATGTGCTTGTTCCATTTCCTTCAGTGTAGCTTTTTATATATAGTTTTATGCCTAGATTTCTGCACTGGTAAACCAGCTAATTTTGACAACGGCATGTGTCACATCAGATATCAGCTTAGCAAAGAGAAAATAATTATAACATCTGATTCTGTTTCTGAGAGTTTGTTAAGAAGATCAATAAGGACAAGAGCACTTTGACTTTTGTTATTATGGTTTCTCTGGCAACCAGGGGAAATGACATAGGTAAAATTATAGTCCCATTGCGCTCCATGTGTTGACAGTACATAATATATAATTGCATGCTTCCCACCAGAAAGCTTACTTAGTATAAATCCTATACAATCTGTCTTCTCACACTCTTTTAGGTGTTTCATCATTTTCACAGCTTGCAAAACCCTGAAAAATTAAAAAAGAAAACAAAACCCCTTGAGTTGGTTTTGCTATTGCCTGGCTTTAAGAGCTTATGACAGGACTAATTTAGTTTGTCTGGCAGCAATAATCCTAGATTATTCAAAACTAAGAAGAAGTGGGAGTGTAAATCATGCAGTCTTTCTAGAGAGACTTGGTTTTGCAGCTTGTCAGAATCCTCATCTCACTAGAGGATGAACTTCAATACTTCTAAAGCGTCTTTACTTCTGAAAAAGACCTTCAGAAGGCTGGCTAATGCTTTCAAAGAAGAGATGGTGGGCCAGCATCTTTCAGCATGCACTTTCCAGTAACATGTATGGCAGTTTGTCAATCCCACATATCTGCCTCTCTGTATTTTAAGGTGTACTGGTCTCACAAGTCAAGAACACCTTGGGCTTACAGAAGGTACACAAGTGTACCTGGAGAAACACTTTGCTGTGACTTTTCTTCCCCTGCAACACCTCTTACCCAAAGAAAATGCTGCTGGGCATATAGTCTGTCCTAGTGTTTGAAAGGAGAGGAACTAGATAAAGCAATGTGAAAGCTTACAGAATTAGCTTCTAACTTGCAGAAGTAGGGCTCAGGATTCTAAGCTGTTACCCTTCCCTTCCACAGCAGGTCCCCAGCTCCACACACAATCCTTGCCTTGCCTCTGCCCTACTCAGTACTTCACCAGTGTAACACTGAGTTCCTCTGAAATAAATCCAGCTCCTAAACCGGCAAATAAGCCCCTATTGAAATAAGCAGCCTAATTGCCTAAACTCTCTAAAGGGCTCCGCGTGAGCAAAGAACAGGTCAAACCTCACAAAAGGGCCATTGCTAAATGCTATAGAAGTCAAATGCAAACTCTTGCTGAGGCCAACAGCACAGTATCAAGAGCTGAACTTTAGCCACTTACCTCTGGATATAAGCTTAGGGCATCTGAAGAAGAAAGAAGCAGATAACAGCAAAACAAAGACATACTTGCTGTAAAATGAAGATTACCTCTACAGAAGGTAAAGATCCTCTGGAGGTGAGTGTGTCTCTGTGAAATGGGAAGAGGAGCAAGTGACAGCTTTGGGTACTGCAAAATGTCTGTAAGAACATTGAGGACTTTTTTCCCTCCTCCTGTGCCAAAAAGCATTCAATTAATCCCTTAGCACTGGGAGCCAAACAAACCCTGGTACTGCAACAAGCTTCTGTGTGCATCCTTGGGAGGGTCCTGGCACAAGACTGGGGCAAGGTTGTGTCCTGTGAGGAGTTCTCAGGCCAGCAGCAGCAGGGGCTTGGCTGGGTTAATAAACCCAGCTGGGTCACCGGAGGAGGCTTTGCTAAACCACAGGTGGAACCCTCTCAGTCTGTCTGTAAAGTATCTTGCTGACACCACCTGCCTACCGCTTTCCTGCCCACACTTTGGGATTCTGTTTTGCATGAGTTAAACATAGTGCAGCCACTGGAAAAAATCACGTAAAGGGGTTGGGAGAAAGAAGGCTGGCCTCTAGGTTTGCCCACTCAGGAGGATGGGAGGATAAAGCATGAATCAGAAGCAGTACTAGTGGTGGAAGCTACCAACTGTTTTTAGACCCTGTCCTTGTGGCCTATCCTCATCTTCTTCACCTTTGCAGAAACCCACTGTTTGGGTTTCCTGGACATCTATTTTCAGTGAGGACACAGACCACATGAATGCTCAAGACAAGCTAACCCTGGTCATTAAAAAGAGAGCTTTATTTTGTACTGTATCTTCTGCATTGCTTTTTTGTTCTCATCAGAGTATTTATCTGCAGATCTGTTTCTCAGATAAATGCTTCTGAAATACTGCCTCAGCTGTAACATCCAGAATTTGGATTTTAATAAACTGACTTTTCTTCATCTAGAGACCTTGTAACCTCTGAAGAAGCAACCACACCTATTCCTTTAATACACTTTGTGAATTCAATCTCCTTTTCATTTCTAGCACTTTTTTTCTTCAGATGTCTTTGGGATGTTCTACGTTCATCTTCTCTCTTCTTGTTCTGTTTGTTTTCTAGTGACAGAAATTAGAATTACAAGCATTAGCAGGATTGCTCTATTGACTGAAGATCAATACTAGATTGCTTTTCTGCCCTCAAAGCTGACAGCTCCAACCTCCTCTGACTTCAGAAATATTCATCAGTGTTACAGTCATTTTAAAGACATCTCATCTTAACACTATCATGAAAGGCTTAGCAGACACAATGCTTTTCATGTATCACCTCCTTTAACGCTGCCTTTTCTTTCCTGTTGGAGAGACACAAAGATGGCTGAAAGTGACTTTTCAGGGAAAGTTACAGCCATAATTCAACCTGGCAGAGGCTTAATGTCATCCACACATTGTGACAGACTTCAAACTGCAGATAAACCTTTATACTACAATGCTATGGATTTCTTTTATAGCGTAAAAACCTCCAGATGTTTGGTGCCTTTATTTCCAATGTTAAAAGCTGCACGTTGCACAAGTGAAGGATGTAGGGCAGTCCAGAACTGAAAAAAAAAAGTGGCTTTGGTTGAAAATACCGAAAACTGACTGTGCAGGTTACAATATAAGCTGGTCCTGAGCTGCCGCCAGCTGTGCCTCCATGGCAGGGCATGTTGTTACAGAGCTAGTGGTTTCTATAGCAGCGAGCACTATATAAAAAAGCTTGACTTTTCCCTCGCCTAAGTAATCTTTACATGATGTGAGGAAGTTGGGAGAGGAGAGGCACAAACCTGCCTCTGTGTGTGTTGCAGGAGGACTCTGCACAAATATTGCACTGGAGGCTCTGTGGGGATCACTATCCCTGGACTCACGTTCCAATGATGTTCTGTAGCTATTGTTTTTCTGATCATTTCTATCAGGGAGGAGGTACCTTGAGGATTTTCCAATTCCCCAGCCACTCTTTATTAAAACCACCTCTGTTCCTCAGCTCCCTGTGCAGAGGGGGCCTGTTCCTGGTGCTCACTCCCACAAGCACAGCTCCCCAGTGGGTGCCACATACCCAAAAATGTCCATTATTACCAGTCCTGCTGCAATACTGTCCCAACACCTGCGTACCTGCCTCTCACCACCCATGTCACACCTCACCCCAATGGCTTGCCCCAGGCTCTCTAACCCACCTCAGGACTGCCCTATGCTCTGCCCCACAGGCTTCTCACCTCTCTGGCACGAGCCAGCCAATACCCACTCTGTGTCAATACCTCAAGAGATACAGTGTGCCACCACCCCCAGCCTAAACAGTGACTCCACTTTGTTGAGCTCATTAAGGTGTACAGATACAGGGCATCCTATATCTGGTGGCACCTGGTTCCTATAACATAGATCACAGAATACGAGGTTCAAAGGTACCTCAAGGATCACCTGGCCCAACCTTTCTAGGGAAAGCATGACCTAGACTACATGTCCCAGCACCTTGTCTAGCTGAATCTTAAGAGTGTCCAATGTTGGAGAGTCCACCAGTTCACTGGGGAGATTATTCCAGTGGCTGATTGTTCTCAATGTGAAAAATTTTCCTCTTGTGTCCAGTCAGAATCTCCCCAGGAGTAACCTGTGCCCATGCCCCTTGTCTTTTCCACGTGGCTCCTTGTGAAAAGGGAGTCTCTGTCTTCTTCACAACCACCCTTTAAATACTGGGACCAAAACTGAACACAGTATTCCAGGGGTGGCCTCACAAGCACTGAATAGAGTGGGGTAATAACTTTATCACTATATATCTGCCTCCTAATCAGCTTCTCCAGCCACTTTCCACGTCAAAACCCACAAAGGCCTCACCAGATACAAGATCCTCCAAAATGGTGACTCCATCTCAGACTACCCCTTCCCCTGACCGTGCTTCCGTGCTGCCAGCCAATCATAAAGGCAAGCCAGAAGAAAGACCAACATGCACGGGCGAAGTCCCTAAGGAATACAGAAGAATACTTGCACTTTGCAATAAAATCTTGCCAATTTGATTATTTAAAAAAAAAACAACAAACAAAACCCAAACCACAAACCAAGACAGAGCAAATCCAGAGCACTGCTAGAAACATTGTCCTAGTACCAGTTGCAGACAGGAAAGAATGTCCTTTCCTGCCATATCCTTTAAAGGTCTAAACCCTGCTGCAGCCAGGATTTTCAGAGGCATCTAACTTACTGTACTAGTTTTTCTGGAGCAAAATGGCCGCTTAGTCAATAGAAGTTTTGCTTGAGCAAAAGTTTCTTCTTTAATCAAAAGACAAACCAAAAGGTTTAGTTTTCAAAACACACACAGAGTTGCTCCCATTGAACAAAGGGAGCTTTAATATTGATTTTAATGGAGAACTCACATTCTGACGAGTGCTTACATGAACCTCTCCCTCTGAACTGTCATGTACTTGCTCGTATAATACATAAGTAAGAAAATACCCTCTCCCTATGGAGTGGCTGTGATGTGTTATTTGCTGGCAGCTTCTAGAAAATTAAGTTATTCACCATTTAAATCTAGAGTGTAAATTTGTCTTCTGCATACTGCATTAATCCTTTTCTTATTAAACCAACTAGTGTACTGGTTTAGAAAGTTCCTCAGGACAGAAACGTTTGCTGCACAGCCGTTTACTTGAACTGTAAACAGAAGCTGAGGGTTGCTATGGTGAGATCTTTTTCTCAAAGTCTATTTACTTCTCCCATCTAACAACAGTACCGACAGTGGAGCCTATAAAACAGAAAGTATAAAGTAAAGCAGCCATTACACACCACAGTTCTGAGAAGTCCTTATTCTAATGAAATGAATTTGAATGCTCACCAGAAACAAAGGTATGTAGAAAAGCAAGATAAACTTTCTTTTCCTTTTTTTTTTTTTTAGGTAAAAAATGGTACTTTAACCTGTACTCTGTGATAAAGGCTTTAACAAGGAGAAGCAATTTGGAAAGTCTGCTTTGATTGTTGATGTTTTCTAGTCCTCTTGCAAAATTCTAGGTTTGTGAAAGTTCAGTATGCAGCCTAGGTGAATATTCACATCACCACAAGTTAATTTGACCCTGGAGGAATGGAAATGGGCAAAGAGCAAAAAGCAAACAGGTACAACACAGAGATGCTTTTTGCAAAATCCCTAAATTAGCCTTTTGCAAGAGTAGGGTACCATTTTAACTCCGGAGCTGGTGCAGGCTATTTCCAGAATGGATATTCTCATTCACCAGCAAAACTTTTGGTTCCTGTGAACTGGTCTCCTACTAGAACTGCAAGTACAAGAAAGGTTCTGCTTTTTATTTTATGCTAATGGCATAGGTGATTATCATAATCAGACTTGCAAAAAAGCCAGTCCAGACACATCCTTAATCCTCCAATTGCCAGGTTCAAGTATATAAGAAAAAAATCTTATGAAAGAATGGCTGGAATTAGGAATATAAACCATATCGAGTAGACAAAGCCATATATATGTTCCTCTAACACAAGACTGGAAATTTAAGTTATTTTTCTACAAAGTCTTCCACCCAACTTCTCCTTTTACTCCTGGGTAAGTCCTTTTTAAAACAGCAAATAAGTAACATAAAATATCATGCAATATAACGCAATCAATAGTAAATTTCTTCTACTAAGGCGTGGAACGTTTCTGACTCTCATCCAGAGAGCAGGCCTGGCACTATTTTCCTAGTGTAGGTGTAGTTCTACATTTCATTCATATCAAGAAATCTCATTTTGAACATCTGCATGTAGGGCTCCATAAGGGTGTCTCCAATGACCTTATAGATAACGAAGGTCTAGGGAATGTCTGCAGTAGCAGGCCATGTGTATCTGTGGAGTGAAACCAACTGTTGTTAAATACTCACAAGGACATTTAACCCACTCTGCAGGCTAGAAGCTGCCTGCTCTTTCCTGGACCATAGCATTTACACCCATGAGCAGCTGGAGAGTGGGTGCAGCTTGCCTTCTCTTCCAGCAGCAACCCAGGGGCCCACAGAGTTGACATGCTCCAAGACCACCCCATCCAAAACACAGTAAGTGGAGATGACCAGGAGATTTGCTTGTAAAACACTCTTAACCAGACATCAGATGTGAATACTGATGCACTCATAGTCATCCAGGCCAATCCAACGGCCAGATAGATGTTCCCACCTTTCTCTCCTGCTGTCATAGAAAGACATAGGTCTCTTTAAGTTTTGCTATGCATGGATTTCTCAAGTACCCTAGGACTTTCTAGTTGCCTCTATGTGTGATTAACTCACCTGATGCAACCAATTTTGCATATGTTAGTCAATCTTAAACAATTTAGAATACATTTAAAGGATCCTTTGCGTTCACGGCAGACAAGAACCAATATTTGCAGAATGTTCTTTTTACGGTTTAAACTGCCAGTGACATGGAATGCTGCAGCAGATCATCAAGAATGAAGAAACACACATGAATATCCCTATTTTGCTTGTCATCTATTCTACTTTTTAAAAAAACATATGAGTAGTTTGCCCAGAAACCAAGGACACAGTACCCCAATACCCCAGAGCTTTGAGGTTCCTGCTGTTAAGCAGCAGGAATGCTGGAAGCTGTAGGAGACCTCACCTGATAGGGTTCTCCATACTGTCATGCTGCTGGCTTTACTCTGTTCTCTATCCTGGGACTCCAGATCCTGGAAGCATTTTGAAAACCCTGCTTTGCATTCAGCAAAGATTCACTGATCTCATTATAATTCATGATGAACTCTTGCAGGTTGAACAGGTCAACTATTTTACACAATCTCAGTTTTGCTGAAAAGTGTTTTTATGTTCTCTGTGTGGAAGAGGCTGGGAGGCGCACTTATGTCAGCACTGTGATCAAAGCTGGATTTTTAAAGAGAGATATAGAATCCTTATACTGCACATGTGTACATTATGTAGATATTTCATACAAAAAGTAGGATAAGGCCTTGCCTTTTTCTCCTTATGTAGTCAGTAGTAAGAAAGTAGGATTTTATCTTAATTCTGCAACTGTATTTTTAATTGCATAGCTGTCCACTGCTTTGTAAGCTTTCTTAAGTAGTAACCTAAGCAAAAGGTTTCCTAAAACCTGGGACCTGTCCTGAAAACTGGAGTAGCCCATGCTAAGAGCCAAGTTCCCATTCCCTTCATTAAAGTGTAACAGGATCTTTAATGAAGGATCTGGTACAATGACAGTCTGGTCTGAAAGCTGTTCCAAGTCTCTTTGGCTGCTCTGGCCCTAAGGTGTAGGGACACAGCTGTTTTCCTTTCAGTTTTTCCTTACTGTTGGAGTATTTGCATGTGAACTGTTGCACAACTGAGCTAAAAATACAAAGCTGCAAACACATCCAGAAGATTTCATTGTTCTGGCTGTCCATTTCTTCAGGGAGCAAAAGTTTCCAGCTCCCACAGCAGAACAAAGATGCTCTCTACAACCATAGAAGGAATAAGGCTGGACTGAACTACAGAACAGTGCAGGTGATCCAAGAAAAGAATGGCAAAACAAGACTGCACATTCCTGATACTCTGTTACTTTTCTTTATATGTCTCATGTAGCATCTGTCCTGCTGGACACAAGCAGTGTACATGGTCAAATCAGGCAGGGACAAAGAATGCACTGAGTTAGGCAAAGATCTGACAGATCTAGGTAACACAGGTAATGTGACTGGTGATCAAATCCTGGTCAGCATGGAGCAGAGCAGTCTCCCAGTACCTGCAAGGGGGTTACTGGAAAAAAAAAAACCCAGCCTGCTTGCAGCAGTGCCTGTTTGGAGAATGAAGTAACAGGCACAAGCAGAAACAAGAGAGGTTCTGACTGTATATAAGGCAAAACTTCATAATGAGGAGAGCCAAGTGGCAAAACACATTATCCCAGAAGGCTGTGCAGCTTTCAAGACCAATGGCATGCAGCCCTGAGCAGCTGGTCTGATTTTATAGCTAATCCTGCTCTGAGGATCAAATTGGGCTAGAGATCTCCTGAGGTCCCTTCAGGTCTGAATTCTCCTATGAGTTCAAGAAACTTGCCACTACATTTTAGTGTGTCAAAAAAAAAAAAAAAAAGGCTATGCACAACCTCCCCTGCAAACAATTACAGGAACATCCTGCCTTTAGGAAGAACTTCCTTCTGATTCCCAACAGTCAGAGTTGGACAAACACCAGAATGAAGTGTGACTTAACACTAGCTTCTACAGTTAAGATGGAAACCTACACTAATAGCTGCAATGAAGATGCTAAAAGCTTTGCTAAAAAACAGAGAAAGCCTGTGATTGGCATGTTCAGACAAGGATTCTCAATTTTAGACTCTGACAGTTATCTTGAAAAAAAGCTAAATGGAAATAGCTCAATAGCTCAGAACTTGCAAAGGTTAAGAACATCTGAAAGAACAACAGGCCCCTTTCATTTAATAGCTAAAGACACAACTTAAAACAAATTTTAGGTACCACAGTTTGAAAACTTTGCCTACATTGCAGCAGAGAATTTTTGGTAGTTCACATCAAAACAGAAGTTCATGTCCTTTGAATATGGTGAGCAGATGGTAAATGAAACATTTAGTGTATTAAGGTGCAGGCACAGAAGAATTCAAAAAATAACTGAATAGCACCTTGAGCATTGAAAGATATAGTGATATACTATTGCAATTCACATGATAAAATACGTCTGCATGTACTATAGTGCCCCAGGTAGCAGAGAGAGAAAATTGAATCTTTGTAGTATTCCTGAAGCATCTTCTCCTCCACTGTTACAAACTGATCATAAACTGATACTATTAACAGATGTATATAGCAGAAGCATGGAAAAGCAGGGCTACACCAGACTTCAGAGGTCAAATTGTTGCCCCAGGTACTCAAGCAGCATGAAGCACAGCCTTTTCACAAGGACTTCATCACTTTATACACTGAATTTCTCTTCGACCTGCTAAGGAACTGTGCAAGGGAACAGAGAGGATAAACAGAATAAAGCCAAGCTCCACTATGCAGCTACCGGAGCTCCCTGCTGTGGTGAGGATGTGACTTAGCAACTGACTAATGAAGACAACCTTGATTGTTCATGCAATACTGCACTTCTGACAGGATCTAGCCTCTAAGACTGACATTATGTGAAATAGCAACTTAAAACATTCCTCAGCCAGTGAGCCACACCTTCCTATACTCATAGTTCTTCCTCCTCAAACATCCCCACTCACACATCAACCCTGCAGCGTTCCCTCCCTGAAATTCCTTCACCTTGTTCAGGTGGCAGGTTTAAGCAGAAGACTCTAACGTAATAGGCCTGGAGAGTCTATGAAATAGCTGCTATTTAATATTTTTTCAAGAAAATAGTATTTTTTCAAATAAATAATTTCTGTTTCAAATAAAGCAAACTGCCTGTCAGTGCCTAATGTATTCTGTGACACTATAATTTTTAACAGGATGGAAAAAAAATATAACAGGTTTTTTACAATTTGCATTACAGCCTTGATTTTATTTCAAAGTGTCAGACTCTGTGTCACTGCAAGCAGACATTCCCCCAGTGGCATTTGTATGCTGCCGACGCAACAGACGCTTAACTTCCCAGGTTCTCTCTGCACAACTCCATCAAGACAAGAAAGAAGTTTGTAAAGAAAGAAGTTTGTATCTGTTTTTTTTTAAAGCTATGGCAAAACTTCACACATGATGCCCTTAAATGAGCAGCTACATAATTGTTTAACAGGAGTTTTACTCCAAACTGGTAGTTTGCAGGGTTTGTTTTTGGTTTGATTTCATACAACCCAAGCACCCTGCTCCTGACATACCAAGACACAGCTTGTCAGCAGGATTTGTCACCTCCAAGCTTTCTAGGGCCCCTGGTGATTAAAGGCTAGGGCCAGTGAGAAGGCAGCACAGTTCTGCTCTGCCATCCACCACATCTCTGTGGGTGCTCAGCATCCTCTGACCAATCACCTAACACACTGCTCCACTAGCCGTCAACATGGCCCATCTTCCAGCCTGCAGTCTTAACTGACTTGACTGACCTTTATTGATTTGAGGAAGATGACGGTGACAATGTGAATGTCACTGTTTGGGGCAGGCAATACTGTTCATACTGGAAAATTAAATGGGGGTCTCCATACTATATGTGAAGTGGCAGAGATCTTCTGAATGGTGATCAGCTCTGAAAAGCTGAGGTCTCCAGGGAGATGCCCTCTCTGCCAGCTGACAATTTTGCTCCTGCCTCACATTCACACAATATATACACTGTTTCCAAATGTGCATGTTTCTTAAATCTCTGCAGTATCTCACATACACAAAATTTCTTACATGAAAATTGCTTTGTTGTCCACCAAATCACTAATCTGCTCTTCACATATAATGTGAAATGGCTGTGATCCTTCTTCTTTTACAGGTTGGCTAGTTGAGAGACAGCTAGGTGTACCATGCATCTTCTCCTAAATTCAGCAGCAGGCCTAGAAGAGCTTCTAGCTCCCTCTTCCATGGTCTTAACTGTACAGAACATGATGAACATTTGGTAACACAAGTTTAGAAGATAACTTTTGTAGGCAAGTATCCCAACACAGTACTGACTTATGAAAACAGTGCAAACCAACTGTAGAAGACTTGGATGTAAAGGAGAAATCTGGGAAGCACAAATAAGCTAAGAAAGATTTCAGATCTTATCCTGCAATTAGAACCACAGGGGAAAATCAGATCAGAGTCTCAGTGACTTTGACAGCACCCATCATGGACCAACAAGCACTTCCAACCAAAGCAGCAACACATTCATCTCATGTTATTATTTCTCTTCTGTAACTGATACGTTCTTGCATTTAGCCAAGCAATTTCCATTAAGTTTTACAGTGGTTTAGAATAAGCCTCTGAATTCCCTGAAATCTATGAGAACTTCCTGAGCTTCTAGAAACTTGTGACTATAAAACCAAAACAAAATTTAGAATGAGCAGCTCAGAAATTGCCTCTGGACAAGGATGTCAAATACTGGCATAAAAATTCAGATTTTCTTAACTACTGTGCATTTTAAAAATAAGGCAATGCATACAAAGACAAACATTAGCTGAAGTCTTACATAACTTATACTGCAATACCCTCTTGTGGTCAAACAAAAATGTTTTGTCTAAACACCTGAACCTTTTCCTCCATAAAAAGCCTCTCCAGACATCTTTTCCTTTGACAGAGGTAAGTAAGTAACATATTTTTCACAGATGAATTTGTAGTGTGTATCATCACTTGTCTGGAAAAACCAAAAGATGAACCTCAGTCAAATTCTTCCTCAGAATGACGGGCACCAACACTGCTTGTCAGATAAACTAATCCCTAAACGAACTCCTAAGCAAAGGCACCACCTCCTACAGTGACACTCATAACTTTTTTTGAAGTTTCATGTCACTAACAAGAAAAAATAAGATGGTATAATCAATTTACATAGAAACATGTGGCACAAAGCCATAGTGAACATCAACCTCTTGTACTGCAGGATGAAAAGAAGTATGCAGTAGATCAGGTGTACCAATCCAAATGAACTCCCTGCTTAAATGCCCCACATTGTAATAATGAACAAATAAAATGTTAAACTGGCAGATGGTAATACAAGGGGAAAGAGTTCAGTCTCTTCAGCAGTTCTGCTGAGCTGCTACTCTAGTAAATGGCCTAAATGGGCTAATAGTAGATCCAGTAAGGAATCTATAGTAACACCCAGAAACATCATCCTTGCACTCACCTGGATGCGCTTTAATGGTGCACAACCACATCCTGATGTCTTCTAGTCCCAACAGAAAATAGGATAATTTTTAAATTACCATCTTTTAGTGACCAATTTCTGGAAACAGCAGATACATTCTAAAGTCATATTAATGCATATTTTTTTAAACTCCAACTTATTTAAACAGCCATGATCCCATTCCCATCTATTGTTTTCAGAGAAATCGCTTGAACATTATGAAGTGTCCAATGCCTCCATGTCGATTCATAGCTTACTTTTGGTTTAAGCCTACAGATGCCCTAAACAGTTAAGACTTTCTTCTTTTCTGAGGTTGTGGAGTCTCAGGCCATCAGAGCTCGCTGTAACCTAAGAATTCACTTTCAGTAAGATGTTTTGAAAGACATTTTGTAGCCCTACACCTGCATCAAAACTATGGTAGTTAAAGCTCCTGCATCTTTGCAGACACCACTCATTGTCATAGGTATACCTGCTTGTAATCTTTCTGGTCCAGTTTATTCAGTGGCTACAAGTAGTCATTTGGAGGCTATGTACTCAGCTCAATAACCATCTTTATTATTATGTTTAATTTGAAGAAATTGACTTCAAGGAAAGATTAGAATTGAAATAACACCAGAACTTTGTAAACAAGAAATAAAAAGCATTCCATGCATAGGAACAGATTTCTCATCAAGATCCTCCTGATCCGATCAGGAGCTAAAAATCCTATGCGCACTGATTAATGCACTGGGTCTTCCAAATGTGCCTCAGCTTCCTTTTAAAGCAGCTACATGCTTCTAAAACCCCATTCTCCAACCAGCTGCACACATTCCAACTTGGACTGGACCCTGGAACAAATGCAGCAGAATAAGCAGATTCCACAAGAGGAACAGAGACAACCATCAGGTTAGGTTGGCAAACATTTCGTTTCTTCAATTCAGGATAATGCTGCGTGAATACAAGACTTTGTTTTTTTGGGGGGGGTTGAAACAGATGAACGACACTATTTAGGTTTCAATTGTCTCAGAAAAATGAGCAAATAAACAAAAAGTCTACTAAAATTTCATTAAAACCCAAAGCAAAAATTATGGTTTGAGGTGGAGTTTACCTCTTCTTATGTTACTGCAATCTTCAAGTCAGAATAATTTTTCCAAATATAGAAGTATTTCATGCATGAAGTGTTTGGGTTGTACAGTTGCAACTATTTTAAAAGAAATTATTTGCTAAATTCAGCATGCATTTCCTAACACTGAAAGCAAATAAGTTTGCCAAAATCCCCTGAAAAAGTAGATTCAAACTTCATTAGCATTTACCAGGAAGATGAAGCAAGAGGCTAGAATTCATCTGGAGCTAATCCACACTACTCAAAACAAGTCAGTCAAGAATTTCAGAGGAAATTTATACTTAAAATACTCCATTTTCCTGCAAGGTCACACATACTTGAGGAAGTGACTTCATACCACAGAAACCTAACAGGCTGACTGTAAAGACAAACACTGAGATTTTGGACACTGTTTTGAAAATTCTCACTTTGCACACTAATAACCCTGTATAATGTTAATAGTTACTTAACTACTTATAGTTGTTTAATACCTTCTGCAGAAATCTCTAAATACTTAAAAGGGACTTTTGGTGATCTCTGGCTGCCCTTTTTTTTTTAATCTGTAAATAAGAAGCTTTCAGCACATATTCATTGAAATATTTTAAACAAAATAGCTCTGCCCAAAATCTATTTCGAGGCCCCAGCAGCTGTCCCACTGGGTCTCTGCTCCCATTCTGATGAATATTCACAAGTCAGACTTGCTTCCAGCTTTCAGGTTTTGCTTCTGCTACATAACCACAACAAAAGTCCTCCTCACATACTCAGCAGCAATCTCCACAGCACCCTTTGCTACTAAGCCAGACTTTATTGTTCTGAGGAATTTTAATAGAATGTGGTCTCAGCTGCCAGCAGCAGTAATCCCCTCTTAAAGTGGGAGTTTGCTGAGTACAGCTGGATATCTGATGGCTTTCAGTAACAGCCGTTTCTTACAAAATTGCAGTTACCATGAGAACTCCCTCAGCAAGCAACAAAGCAACATAAAGCAGTAGGAAATGAGCATTAAATAAGAGGGAAGTAAAACAGCACTGAGCACTGCCTGTTAGTGCTGCCGTCACCTTTGTTTTCTGAAAGCACTCCAAATCACCAGCTAAAAGAAAACTTAGGAGAGATGAAGCTTTGAAAGTGTAAAAATAGGTTTAACATTCATAACACTCACAATATACCTAATGATACTGGGATACAGTGAGTCCCAAATTGGACAAGTTGGGAAAGGGTTCTGGATTCAGAAGAAATATCTTGGTCAGGTTTCGGCAACCAGCAACCACATCTCTGGGGCAGCCAGCCTTAGCTCCATCTGTGTCTCTTGGCAGCACACAGCTCAGAAGATCTGTTGTTGCACAACCAGCTACTCAGTCTTGGGCAGATAAGCAGTCGGCACTGCAGCAAGACCAGGTTCAACAGGATAAGATCTGGAGAGAGTCTGTGGAGGCTGAACAGAGAGGAAGAAAGATTTGGTAAGTCACTTGCTCCAGTTCATGCCTCTTCTACTCATCTTGACATTGGTACTGATGCTCGCTGATAGTCTTGGGGCTTGATCCCAAGCCTATACTATGAAAGAAAATTTTCTTCTGCAGGGACTTTGGATCAGACCCTATTATCTCTGTTTGTCTTCTCTGGACAAAATCTAGTATCTCCTGGCATGCTGGGCTTAAGCTGAAAGGGATGCAAAAAATTGCATGCCAAGTATCTTTTAGCTTTATAGACATTTCCAGAATGAAGATTTAAATGTGCCAACCTTTATAATTTATTGCAGACACACTGATACTATCATGTCTTCTCATATTCTTGGAAATGGCTGAATGGGAGTTGAACAGAGTGTTCTGCCAAAATATGATTTTGTATTCCCAATCTGTAAATCTACTGGCCATGCCCCATTGTTACAGTGTTTGAGTAGACTGAACTACACCATACAAACTAAGCTTTAACTGTGTATACAGTGACCTTAAGGAACCCAAAATTAAGATCCTGTCTCTGCCACATATCTTGAGTGTTTATGCTCGTACTTCAGTACACAGCATGAACATGCCTGTTAGAAGAATATCTTTTGTAAAAACAAAAGCAGTTGCAGCTCCCACTGTGCACTAGACAAATTAAGGGAAAGGAAGGAAAAAGAACATCACTCTCAGGATTTTTTAGAATGGAAAAAGAAACCATCTGAAAACCCTCATCCTCCTCAGCCTTCTGGAGGAGGTGCAAATAACAGCTCTGATTCCCCCAGAGACGCATTTGAAATCCTGTCTGGCTCCCTTTACCTGAGGGAAAGGCTGAGCCAGGACTCTTGCAAAGCCAGGGCCATGGTGGCAATGTTACTCTCCTCCAGCTGTGCATTCAGACTCTTGTCAAATGGGCCCAGCACATTCCATACCTGTTCCCTAGCTAAGGCAGCAGAAGAGACTGTACCTGCCCCCTGGGGTTCACAGTCAGGAACACTGGTGCAAACTCATTTTCATGGGTAAGTAAGGTAACAGATTGTTCAGATGATGCATGTTCTGCTCTGCAATCTTAGCTACAAAGACAGAAACTCTTGTAAAAGGGTAGGACGGGAATGTGAAGGACAGATGCCTAAAGCTGGATCCAGCAGACTACAAATGCTACAGCCTGCAGAGCACTGCCCTTCAGCTCTGTATCCCCTACCAGAATTGATGATGGGGAAAGCCTGCTATGTGTTGGTGGTCTGACCTAAAATGGATATAGGTAAATGTCTGAGAGGCAAGCATTTCTCAGTAATTAACACCATCCAGTAACACCCAAATCTGTATGTTCAAATAGTGGCTGGCATAGTAAATTAAAAATTTTAGGACCTCTGTGCTGTGCCGTTATACCAAAAGGTATAGTGATAAATATGACAATCATAACTTAGCTTTTACATGCACTTAGGTATATATGCACTGGACAGGGCAGTGCAGCACAGGAATTCAATGCTCCTAGCTCAATGGGGAGCATGGCTCTTCTGTAGAGATGAGCTCAACTCAGAAGGATGTACATTCAGCACAAGATCGGTGAGCTTAGATGCAGCACTGTATAGATGCAGGTAACCAGATCAGAGAGTCAACCCTGGTGTCCCTTGAGCCCTTCTGCAAATACAGCTGTAGGCAACTGCTTTCTCTCTTGGCCTCACTGCACTTTTATAATAGCAGGTGAACTTTTGTTTTCTCAATTTCAGGCCAGGGAAACCAAAGGACAGAAAATGAAAGGACTTGCCCTGCAGTCCCACACCAGGTATAGAACTAAGCTGAAGAGCAAAACTGAGGCCTTCTGATTCAGTTTACTCCCAGCACAGATGCCTATCTGCACAAAATACTCCCATGGGCATTTGGCTGCAGCAAATACAGCTCTGGGTATTCCTACCAGGGACTTCTGCCAGCAGAGGATCTGTTACTTAGAAAATAAGAATCTTTGTCTCGCTCAAGTCATGGGTCAAAAGTTTGCTAGAGCAGGATTTTGCTTATTCATCTGCATTTGCACAAGGAATACACTGTGGACATGATAGGCTCATCTTCCTTTAGCAAAAAAGCTCCACTCCTCACATAGTATGAGGTTCCTATAGGAATAAAAAAAAACCCTGTGCTTCACCACAGAAGAGACAGGTTTTGGTGCAAAGAGGTTGCAGGTATAAGAGCTGGGTTCTAAGTATCAAATTAAGCAGTTAAATAGGTATTCAAATACGACCAACATTAACTAGTCTAGCTAAAGACAGTCAATTTCACACTGCTATTTTTCACTTCTACCCCAAGGTACCAGAACTGGAGTTTCCTAAAGGACTATGACCAAATGGTAAGCTTTGAACAAACATTCAACTGTAATCCAGGTTCTTTTTCGTTTTCACCCATTTGAGCTATGCTAGTATTTAAAATTGAAGCATACTTAGGCATAATTGGCAAATGCTATCAGACTAAAATCTTCAGGAAAAATAAAAGAGAACTGAAGTGCCTTTCATCTGCTACCTATGCAGCAAAGAAATACAGCACACACGTGTTCAATCTGTTTCAGTATTAGCAACTCCCTAGAAAGACAAGTGAAGAAGAACCAGCCTCCTAGGAGAAAAGATCGTGTCATCATGCTGAAATCCAAGACACTTAACTAAAAATGAAACAAAATACCTCCCATTTCATGACCATTCTAGACCAGGATAACTTCTGTCTCAGCTGACATTTTACGCAACACATTTGAAAATTATTCATTTCCCTGTGTTATCCTATTCCCACAAAAGACAGGAAAAAACAATTGTTTACTTCTTCAGCACTTTCGTGTACATTCAGTATGACATTTTTAAGTATATTCAAACTCTAACTTTGAAGGCAAAAGTGATGTTATAAATAACCTCAGTAACTTGTATTTTTGTAACAAGCAATGGATGTAATTCTGAAAACTTATTAATGGTGTTTGTTTTATCCAGGGTAAGAAAAAGGAGCAGAAGCCACTGCCAAACTATATGCCTGTGTTCTCAAGCAAAGTTCCCAACTCAACCAACCAGACTATTGGCAGTCGAATGGGTACTGAACTTGGCAGGGATTTGGTAAACATGGATTATTTCTTCAGCACTGGTGCACGAAAGAGGAAACTTGATGGTGAGCTCCAGCCTTCCTAGCACTTTGGTAAAAATATAACAGTAACAAAGCAAGTTGAATGGTTCTAGCCAACAGACTCCACAGCAGGTAAAAAATCCCTCAATCTTTTTCTCAGAGAGACCAATCCTACTCTTTAGCATGGATTTTCTTTCAACAGCAAAGATGGATGTTGTCCAACAATGCCACAGGAGACATTCCTCATTGTATTTTGGGTGGCTGGGCCATATAAAGAGGGTTAGAACTACAGGCCTCATCCATCTTCCCATGCAGTCTACAGTAAGGCTGCCACTAACATCAGAAAATCAAGATTACAGCCAAAAGGCAATTACTTCCTAAATTTTTATCTCCTGAAAATAAACAATTAATGAAGATCTGCTCAGATGAGTCCCAACACAAACAACATATTTCAGTTCTGAAAGTCAGAGCAATAAAATCAGCAGCTTGTTGCATTTAATGTAATTGGCGAAGGATTCATCAGCTCTGCCATCTGCATGTTTAAGCTTGCTCTAAATAATAAAATTTAAGGCACGTGAGATGTGTTCTGTGCTTTTTCATCCCTTCCTGCTGAGGAAAGGAGAACAATTTTTTTTCACACTGGTTTTCATTTTTGATTCTTTAGATATGCTGCTCTCAAATTCCCTTAACTCTTGGAACTAATTGACAAGGAAGCAGGCTTTCACATTTTGCTCTGAAGGAGTGTTGGCTCAGCAACCTGTCTGACACTTTTAGGATCATCAACCTCGAATTTAACAGGTTCAGAGTTCCTAAAATCTGTGGCTGCCCAGGGAAACCAACATCAAGCTAAATCAATGCAATACCTGAAGCCTGTTCACCTGTGCATCTCCATTACATAGGTGCAAACTTTGATAATAACTTACATATGGCCTTTTGAGCTATATGTAGCTTCTGTAGGATCATGCTCAGTCCTCTGTGGAGATCAACACAGAAGCCATTAGCATTGCCTTGACACAACAGGTGGCAGTCTCTCACCACACTGAGGTGGAGATGTATATACCTATGTTTTGCAACTAAGTCTATTTGGTTTTATGATTAGACCTCAGGAGGCAGTTTAAAAGCACAAGTGGTGGCAGGAACAAGTGTCATCACTGTCAGCACCCAAACAGTTTCTGGAAAAAAAAATACAACAACAACAACAATACACAAAAAAAAGGAAAGGGAGAGGGAGAGGGAGAGGAGAGAGGAGAGGAGAGGAGAGGAGAGGAGAGGAGAGGAGAGAGAGGAGAGGAGAGGAGAGGAGAGGAGAGAGAGGAGAGGAGAGGAGAGAGGAGAGGAGAGGAGAGGAGAGGAGAGGAGAGGAGAGGAGAGGAGAGGAGAGGAGAGGAGAGGAGAGGAGAGGAGAGGAGAGGAGAGGAGAGAAAAAAGACACTATAGAAAGAAGAGCCAAATCCCAGTCACTAAGTCACAGCACCAAGCGGTTTTCCTCCTGGCTTTCCCAACACAGACAGAACTGCAGGATTAAGGCTTTCAAGATGACAGCTAAGCTACCTAAAAAAAGGAGACCATATTATGCAATCAGCCCAAGTGGACTGATTCCAGTCAGCGCAGATGTGAATTCTGAGAGACAACTGTGTTCAGAGACACCAAATAGGAACCCGCTTTTGAAAAAGTCATCTTCTTGTTCAGCAAAAATGCTTTCTGCTCCCTCCTGTGAGCTGAAAACTGCACCAGGAACTGGTTTGTCTTCAAACATCTGAAAGAGGCAGAGGAAAGAGAAGATCATACCTTTCCTTGTCCCTGCGTTATCTTCCAAAACTACACAGGCCACTCAAGAGGTTATGTACTTACTGGTGACAGCATAACACTGAGAATCATTACACTTGCATGCCTTACTTGGAGACATACTGAGCAGCCTCAAGTCTTGATATGGGTCACAAACTCTGTACTGAGTGGCAGATGTCCAGTATCTGTTAGGTTTAAACTCCTATTCATGTAAGAAATCTCATTTATAAAGCATGGGGATTTTGTTTTTCAGCATGAAAGCATATAGAGCTCCACGTTTCCTAACCTCCAGATGGCACTCACTCCACATCAGGTTATCTACTGAAAAGGACGCTAAGTTACACAATTCCCCTTCAATTTCAAGCGACATTAAATAATTTCAGATTCTTGACTTTGTTTTCCGTGTGTGAATCCAGAGAATCCTTCTTCCAGAGAGTTCCTTCAAACTGGAGGATATGGGAAAGAGCATGGTCTAAGCAATGCATGATTTAATCCCTCCACTTCACACTGGCTTTGTTTCAGCTGAAGTACGTCTCACAGTTTTGGGCAAGACCTTTCAGGTCTTACCCTAAAAATGTGTGCCACTAAGCAGTCTAGAGAAGCTGTGATGGTAACTGGAGTACAGAAAGGTACGGCTTATGATAAAACAATTAAAAAGATTGGTTTTAATCTGAGGAAGAAACAGTCTGGCAAGAAGATAGTCTTTAGATACATTTATAGCTCTGGAATGAGAAAAGGTAACATTTGCACTTCACATGAGTGGAAGACAATAGTAAATATCAAAGGTTTCAATTACAGCAAGGCAGAATCATGTTCACTTTTTGGGAAGTTAGTGGTAAGGCTAATACAACACTGGAATTGATCCCCCAAGGAATCTCCACGTGTGAAGGTTAAACACACACATCCATCAAGAGTGATGTATTAAATACAACTTGTCTTGAACTGAATGACCATCTGAAGAGCTTTTCACCAATTTTCTGGCTACCCCAGAGTTCTTGGGATCAAAAAACACTTTGCAAACTTGGTTTTTCAAACACATTCAAAAAGAAAAAGAAAATCCTATTTCAGTTACACCAGATTTAAAGAGATCACACCTCTAAAATACCTATTAATCACCTAAACTTGTTGATAGAAAATATATTTCTGATTTTTCTAATTACTTATAGCAAATGCTTTTCACAAAGTCTAGATGTGCCTCTTTCTTTTAATCACACACACCTAAGACACTTGAATAGTGCCCTCCTGACAGCCATGCAAGAACACTTCTCAAAGAGCACATTCATATCCTTAGGTCACGTGGATCAATGGCAGCAACTAATTTTCTTTCAACAGTTTCAGGAAGCCTTTACTAATGAAGTGTAGTTCTGATTGAGAGACCTCACCTGCAGTCAGGTCACGCTGCCCTCTGTAATTCAGTCATTAAAGGAGACATTTAGAAATACATAAAATCTCAAAACTCTTGAAATAAATGCCCCCCATACAGAATTTTTATTTAAAAACTGTGTTTCTGTTAATAGAATTTAAATTAAGCTGTTCAAAGACAATAAGACTCCAAAGGAAGAAATGAAAATGAGACACTTATCTTGTCTCATAAGATCAGTGACTCCTGTAAATCCAACTGTGGTTCTTAGAAACTGTAAAACTGTTTCTTGATGTAGAAATTACACTAAAACAAACAAAATAACTACACGGATTTTCCTACAACAGTGGTCTCATCATGCTGTGGAAATTACTACATAAACAGTAAGATTTCCAAATAAGGATAGGAGAAGAAAATTATGTATGAACCTTAGAAGGACAATACTGCCAGTCCAGACATCATATGTTTGCATGTATTATTCATGTGCATACACATTCACAACGTTTCCTTTCTATAGAACAAAATTTTTGACCTGAAGTTCATCTTAGAGCAGACAATGTTTTCTGAAGTAGGTTATTCTTTTTGGTTTGTTGGGCCTCAAGCTGCTTTTCCTAAATCCTGCTGAGACAGAAACCAATAAAACTTTCTTAAAGCAGGATGTCCTTCTTAAAACTCAGGTATGCTTTTCTCTCTTCAGAACACTCCATGTTTGCTTGGATGAATTCCTTGAAACACAAATGCTTCTCCAAGAAACTCAGAAGTTCTGCCAAAGGCTGAAGAGGTGCTTGTGCAGTTCTGTCAGCTGCAGCCCCATCCACAGCCCTCTTCTGTCACAGGGCATAGATGCCACAGACTGACTTCAGCTTGTAACCTTCTCAAAGACTCTCTCAGAAGCTGTACGTATCCACCAGTTCTTCTAAATGGAACTTCCAAGTATCAGGAGTTACAGTCTCACCTCAGCACAAGACCTTCATGCCAGATCGATGGAGCAAAACTGCCGAAAATGTCTCTTAACTGGAAAATGCCCACAGGAAAGTCTCGGCATACACTGATTGAAAAGTTGCATTAAGAAGTAATCTGCAAATATAGAGGCATGATAGCTATAAAAAATTATGAGATTGGGTTTCACTCTATGACTTTGACCTGATCACTTCAAATCTATGTCTATTTTCCCCATTCACTAATGATCAGCTATCATCACTGGATGTATTCTATGTGATCTGTGAATTAACAAATGTATTCATGCAGTAACTCTTATTTCAACTACAGCTATTGCTCAGAAAGAGACACAAACCAAACCAATGATGTAGCGCAGAACCATCTAAAACTATTACAGTGCTTATTAGCAGTAACACAATTATATTTCTTAAAAGCCAAACAGACTGAAAACACAATGTCTATATCAACTCTTCTATAGCAAAACTTAACAGAACGCTGACACATTGCTAGCACTGTATTTACCACAGGGCTACTTAATGGCTTTCCAGTGACAAATATAAAGCCACAGGCTGAAAACAGTACATGGCAGTGTTTCAGACACAGTAAGCCATCTTCACTGGAACAAGCATGATTATACTGTGGCTATTCCTCACAGTGCTGGCAGATCCACTGGCAAGCTCTGGGAGCATCATAAGATGTCTAGCAAGAATGTAGGAGGCATCGCACACCAGGATGTCAGAAAGGGCTGCCATAATGTACTCACGCTCAACTCTTACTGAATTTGAGTAATTCAGAGGTAAGCATGGATCTAGAACAGCACCAGTTCCAGATCCAAATGCTACAGTTCAACCTCTTCTCTGGGCTACAAGCTCAATGTAGATTTTCTACATAAAAGGGACAATTTCAAGTTTAATATGAAAACCCATTTAAGGAGTTCCAGTACAAACTTGTTAATATTTTCCTTCCCTTATGCTCCTTTCAGTTCTTTGGCTTTTGGGTTAGGTTTTTAAGTCTGTGTTTCACATTTTAGGCTCTTTGAGTACTACTTTTCAGCTATCCTATTATTTTACATAACGTGCCATTACCCAGAATGGCCTTCAGTTAACTAGACAAACTATTTCACAGAGCAAACACTGAGCCGACAAGGTCCAGGGATTTTTTTGCTTATGGTAGTTTCATTCCATTGGTGATACTTCTGTTCAGCCTAACATCAAGTAAATGTTAAATAAATGCAGCCATGTTTCCAATTTTCCACAAATATATATAACATACTACACACAAAACTAACGAACTACATGCAACCTCCAGTGTTTCTTTTACACTCCTACCACACACATTTGTATAACATAACCTCAAAAATGAAGTATACAGGGATCCATTGGACTTCTTTAGGAAGAGGAGGTTCTTCCTAACAGTGCTGAAACAGTCATTCTGGCACTGGGGAGTCTCTCAGCACTCCCTCCTTATGGTGAGCTTTTGTGATGACTCTGCATCAGCCTTACTACTCAAGTTAGCATCCTTTCATCACAGCAGTCGTCATGAACTATGCCACCCTGTCCCTGTGATCCCAAAGAGGTCACAGTTTTGCAACTGCGCAGGTATATCAAAATTCCTCTCTTCTCCACCTCCCACCACCCCCACCCCCCAGGCTGTCCCTGCTCACACAGGGTGTTCGCACTCCCTTCTCAAGTCAAGTGAGCATGACTCCCACAGCCTGCTGTCCCTGGCCATCCCTGTCCACCCCCAGGCTTCCTCCACACATCTCCTAGGGAGCTGTCTCCATCCCCACAGGTTCCTCAGTTGTGGAACTTTCTTTACGCTAACCTAAAGCTTAAACTACCAATTATCTATCAAGTGAACTATTCCCTGCTGGCATGGTAGGCTGAGGAAATAATGAGCCAGAGTGCACTCTGCATTCCTTGCAAACCCACAAAATTCAAGACATTGTTTTGCTTAAAAACTCAACTATGATAAGCCAACATCATTATTGGAAAAAAATTCTTCTGGTTTGGCATTCTGTCTTTGGTTCATATAGAAAGATTATTTTCCTTCTTTTTGTTTCTAATGGGAATCAACATTTGCATTCCTCCTTGAAGTGCAACAGCATTATACCACTGCCCACCTGCTGTGAAACAGACAATCTGTGCTGTAGATTCAATTGCAATGAATTTATTACTGAATTGTAATTTAAAGTGGTTCTGCATTCCTCTGCAACTTATCAAGTAGAAGAGTCTGGAATTTGATATGAAACTAAGTAATATAAGCAGAATAGGAAGAATTTCTTATATTTTTTTTTTTGTCATAACCTTGAATGGGGCTGCCCAGCACTGTGATGGCTCTTTCTTCCCCAAGTTGCCAGTTAAGTGGCCAGTAAAAAGATATAGAAGATTATCCTTAAATCACTTTGCTTAACTGACTGCTTGCAGTGCATAGCAGGATGTATTTTTAAAAAAGCTGAAATGTTGACTGAAGTTAAATGTTTGTCTTTGTTAAATATAAAAATAGCTGAATGAAAAAATGCTCATGGACCTGCTTAATAGCTTAAGGTCAGTTCAGCTTGTTGATGACTCTAGTAGGATACAAGGCAGTGCGTTCTATTGGTATTTTTACTGCATCTTGTTGGATCAGCATCCACACAGCAATACACAACTTTAAGTATTTATATTATTATTTTCAGATTATCTGAAGTGACAGACACAACTACACCCCAAACCTCATTTTAAATGAGGTAACTTCATCTTCTCTAATGGCTTACTCCACTTTATTTCAAGTAAACAATACTTCCAGAAGGCTGAGAATTTGGTTTACCAAGAAGATTCTGGAACAGCTTTAATTTTTATATTACAATTTTCATTTCTTCCTTTGGAGTCTTACTGTCTTTGAACAGCTTAACTTAAATTCTATTAACAGAAACGCAGTTTTTAAATAAAAATTCTGTGTGGGGGGCATTTATTTCAAGAGTTTTGAGATTTTATGTATTTCTAAATGTCTCCTTTAATGACTGAATTACAGAAGGCAGCATGACCCAGAATTCAAACATTGTTTTAAAATACCACAAAAAGGTATGTGGAATGAATGCAAACAGGTTTGTCAAATCATATTATCAAAACAACAGAAAACAATTTGTGAGAAATGCAAAAGAGCTGAAACTAAACTGCACTAAGAACTATCAGGCATACAGAAATGAAACTTCCACTGAAATGAAAAGGAAGAAATGTTATGCCTGAAAATAATCCCTCGTGTTAAAGCAATTATGCTGTAGGTAAAAATCTGATTAATGGTATGGATTTGACATGGAGTTGTACTAGCCATATGCTGGTACGAAAGAACCATGTATGTGCACGATCAATACGAATGCATTTTCCTTGGATAATTGCTCTTGCTCAGTTCTGACAAACTGACGAGCATGGAAGCTTTAAGGACTGTGCTTCACTGTTTCTGTGCGTTACTGTGTATGGTGGGTAGGTGTGCATTCCGGTGAAGTTGCTCCATCTCTGATAAGCTGACAAGTCTGGCATTCAGAAACATTTATTTTTGCTTAACTTTCCTTCTGTGCAACCAAGACCACTGCTGTCAGAACTACACCACTGCTGCTGCTGCAACCAGCACCAGTGTGTCTTGAAACCATGGGAGCTGGAACACTGGTGACTCCATTTTGGGTCAGAAAATGGAAACCCAGCTTGCAGGTCCAAACCATGAGGCGACCACCAGTCCTAGATGAACACAACCCATGGCTAACTGTTTAAACCAACACAGCATATGATGATTACTGTTTTGTGGCTTTTATTTAAGGCAATAAAGAATAAGTCCAGGGACAACGCTCATAGTTTCTCGGCCCCTACACCGAGGATCGTGACCTGTGGGTAGGCCCACAGCCAGCGGCATGGAGACACCCGGGAGACTCGGCTCCCCACGCACCTGCTCCCCGCGGTGCTGCAGGAAGCACTCCCCCTTCCTGCGGAAACCGCACCGCCCCCCCCGCGCGGTGTTGCCAAGAGCGGCCCTCTGGGCTGGCGAGGCCCGGGCCTGATGCCGACCTTGGGACGCCGGGTGCCGGGCCGGGCCCGGCCTTCCTCTCCCTGCAGGCCGGGCGGGCTTCGAGCCCACGGCCCCACGCCCTACGCCCCGGGCAGCGCGGGCGCCATGAGCGCTCCGTGACGGCTGGGGCCGGGCCGGGTCGGGTCGGGTCGGGCCGAGCTCCCCGCCACACCCCGCCACGCCGCATCGCACCGCGGGTTGCCCAGTTCGGCTTGCCGCGGGTGTGCAGCGCAGCAGGATGGCGCTGACGCTGCTGGAGCTAGCACACTGGAGCACCTGGGCCGTGTGCGCCGTGATCAAGCTGCCGCAACTGGCAGCCGTGCTGGCGGCCGGGTCGGCGCGGGGGGTTAGCACGGGCAGCTTGCTGCTGGAGCTGGCCGGGTAAGGCCGCGGCGGGGAGGCCGGGGGGCGACATGGAGGCTCCCCCTCCCTGCGCGGGGGCGGCGCGCGGCGAGAGGACCGTTGGGGCTTCCTTCAGCTGCGGGCGGGACGCTCGGCGGTGTCAGTTGGTGATGGAGTTCCTGCCTTAGCAGCGCCGGCCGCGCACAGGAGGGTGTTTGAGTGGCGCGGCGAAAGGGTCGGAGAGCAGTCCTCGCTCTCTCCGGTTTGAAACTGCTCCTTGCTGTCACTCTCGGTTAGCCTCCGCTGAGCCTGCCCCCTCCCGGTTCCCCTCTCATGTGAGTGTGCCGTGTCCTGCATTCCTTGGGCGTGCAGGCGTTTTGGAGCAGAAACTTCCCGTTTTAAAGTGTTTCCGCGCTGTTGCTTAAAGGGAAACTCGGCTTTTTTTTTTTTTTTAAAACTTACCCCAAACCAGCGTGAGACAGGCAGTGCGGCTGGAGTGAACACCTGCTGTTTGGTTTATGTCATGTATTTAGGTTATTAAGTGGTCCGTGTGCCATGTTGTGCAGGTAATTGTACTAGTTAGACGGGCTTCTCTCATCTGAATATGTAAAACATTCTTTAAGAAAATTATAAACCGTGTCCAATTGTAAAGATTTGTCAGTCTGTAATAAGCTTACATGGGCTAGGCTTATTAAATCTTGCTTAAATAGGATTGCATGGAATGAGAAATAAGTAAAGTGCATGTGCATGCACATTCATGTACATGATGTATGCCAGGCCAGGTTGGATGGGGCTTTGAACAACCTGGTCTAGTGGAAGGTGTCCCTGCCCATGGCAGGGATTGGAACTGGATGAGCTTTAAGGTCCCTTCCAACCCAAACCATTCTGTGATTCAAATGTGGGTACAAGCATGTGAGAGAAAGTACATTGAAGAGTCTCTTGTTTGCTGTACTGAGGAATGGAGATGACCAGAACATGTAGCCATCCACACCAAGCCAGAAAAGGGCTTTCTATTCAGAAAAATCACCTCACAAAAATTAGACTTTGTTTCTGAAAGCACCTGTGCCTCATCTTTGGTTAGGTGCACAGCAACTGTCCACCCAGCTCTGGCACTGCAGAGGCTTGGACATACAGACACCTCTTTTCATGGAGCTGTGCAGAATTGTCTTGGTGTCTGCTGTGGCTGTTTGTAGCCCACGTTTATCCATGGCACTGAGCCCTTGTGGTTGCTTTTTACCCTTACACGTAAGAGTAGTGAACTAAATTCTAGTTCCAGCAGAGATAACTAACCTTCCCGCCCAGCCAGAAAGCAGTGGTACTGTTTTAAAATGAATCATGTGAGTTGGTGTGCATTAGAAAGGCTTTTTAAGAATGTTTCAGAAGAGCAGGGAGAAGCCGTAAGTATATCCTCAGCACTTGCGTGATAACCACAGTACCCACACCAGTGCAGGATGTGCAACTGCTCTGGGCAGAACTATTTTAAAAGAGTTGCAGCAAAGCTTTTTTTAAATTTCTGTTAGGACTGTTTGTTTATTTAGTAGGTTATTTATCCCACAACCTTTAGAAATGTTCCAGCTGCAGGGAGCTTTGGAGCTACTGGTATAAACTGGGATGGTTCTGCGGAGTCAGCATGCAGTGACCTGGCAGAGGAGTGACACAGAAGTATGGTGCTGATGGCAAGGAGTCCAGTTTGACCCTAAAGACTTCTAGGAAGTTCTGATATTTAAATTCTGAATTCTGTAAAAGCCAGTTTCTTACAAGGCAAGTAGTTCCTTCCCTATTACATCCTTGTACACTGGAAACCCATCAATTTTTCCTCACATAAAACTATGCCCTAAGAGTCCTTTCTGTTTTTTAATGCAGCCTTCAAGTTTCTGTCTGCATGGGCTTGCATGAAAGTTGAAGACAGTAAAGAAAACGTCATAAAAATTAAATGCCTTTTCGATACTTTATTGTGGAGTGGTAGGAAGGTGAACTGCCTTTGTTTTATGCAGTAAAGAATAGGCTCTTAGTCTAAGCAGCACAGCTACACTAGGCAATCGGTGTGGTCTAGACACCTTGGAAGATGTTTTCTGTTCCTGTAAACTTGCTGAATGTATAGATTGAACTGCAAACATAAAGAAATCAAGAGTTATCGCAGAGGCACCAAGGCAGTTGCAAAGTGAAGGTATCTTCTAGGTCTGGTCTCTCTTTGTCATCAGTTGTAATTAATAAAATTACACGTTACACACTGTGACATTAAGACCTGGACAAGAAGTGTGGGCAGCTCTCTACATCTTACTCTGTTGGAGGGTGACAGAAGTAGACTGTCGAATCATCAGCCTTGCACTTTGGCTTCATGTTCATTTGATTGGTTTGACAACAGGTGCTACACCTATCTGGAGCCTTTGGCACAATCAAACCAGTTGTGAAGGATCTGTCCTGTTCCTTTATGCAGTCACACTGTTTTGTGTCTTTCTGTTCAGCTTCCTTGTGTTTCTGAGGTACCAGATCTATTACGGTTATCCCCTGGAGACATACCTGGAATATCCCATCATCATTGCACAAGGTAATTTTTTAAGCCATGTTTTGGAAATAAAACAGGGCTCATTCAGCACTTGAAGGATCTGCATGTAGGTGCAGTACTCCAGTGCAGTGATGTTAATCTACTGACCAGTTCTAGCTGGAATTGGGGAAAAGAGGGAATGAACATCTCCAATGTAATTGAATTCTTATAAATTTTATGAAAACATTATTGGGTAGAAGAAAAAGATCTAATACACACATGGAGTTGCAGCGTAAGTTCCTCCTTTATCCGGTAACTCCGCGTGGGAGAAAAACATTATAAACACTCCAGACTCTTAAGAAAAGCTTCATTTTGGAGTTTGCAGTGTTTTAGACACAATCAAATTTGAGAGACAAAACCCCGTAAGATACAAGTTTCCATAGATGTGGCACCCAGTGGTGCATTTGGACCCTTCTCTCCCTTCTGTGACAAGCAATCTTTTATTTATTTCAGATGTCATTCTCCTTTTGTTTATTCTGCATTTCAATGGAAACAAGAAACGAGCTTTGTTCTATGCAGTCATGTATCCTTTGAAATCTGGGAATTTTGGTGTATGTAGCTTGTTTGGTAGTTCTTTGCATAGCAGCTATGATGTCATCATTTGTTTTGTGCTACTGTTGTAAATAATTTTCAGCCACCCTTCCACATTTACATGCTGATTTCTGGGATCACAGTAAAATATCTACAAGACATAAGCTTTATGTGCTTTAGAAGGACCACAACTGATAAGGAGTAAGACTAATGCTTCATTTCCATCTTTGCTAGAGGCGCAGGGTCGAAATGATGAATCTGTTTTCTTGGATTCCTATCCACGCAAATTGTACTTGCTGTGATGAACACAGCAGTGTTTGAGGCTTTTTTTAAATCTCAAGTCTTGTGCTTTGGAGCAGCTCTGGAGAAACTCCAGGCACTGTTCAACCAAAGACAGTGTGAAGAATAGGAATACTTAGTGTTTCAAGCAGTGCTTAATGTTTTATGTAGATTGTATAGTCTTACAAAAGTTTCAATAAGATTTTATCCAGATGTTTAAAAAAATCTAATTCCCTAGGCAGTTTTGGAATCCTAGAATTTTCAGTGCTATGAACCTTAACATAATGTAAGATTCTGGGGGGGCTGGTACATGATAACACTTCGGAAGTGGATAATAGACCTGGCCTTGGTAAGTGCTGCATGATTATTTGAAATTAGGTCTTCATATGAAATAAAGATTTTTTTTTTCTGGAAATCTTTATCACTGAAATCTCTCCTTATATTTGTCCTTAGAAGAATTCATCGTTTAGGTTAGCTTTCAGAACAACTAGCCAGTTTTCAAATACAGCTGGTTTTCACTTCTGTGAGTAGCACTGGCAAGAGACTCGGGTGGGTTGGTGGAGTTATGTTCTGAGGTTAAGGTTGTTAATTGTGGTGCCTTAATTAAAACTAGCAAAGGTTTAAGCTGGTGAAAAAGTATTGCCTCTTTAGTCCTAATGTCATAATCCTGATTAGTAAACTTTACCATGAGAGGAAAGCAATAGAGCATCAGTCAAAGCATTTGATATAGGGAATGTTAAACATTTCACAAGATCTTTTTTCCCTTTTGGTCTAGAATTTTGCAAGGAAGCTACCATCTGATAATGCCTTATGTAGGTTAAGGATTTTTTTCCCCTTATAATCAGAAGAAAGTTAAAATTGAACTGAGATGAACTGGAGCTGCTAATGCAATAGATGATAGAAATGAAGATAAAAGCTTCTAAGCCTAACAGCGATCCTTGCTTGCAAGGGAAATCTGGGCACGTGGACCTCTACCTGCTGCCTTTGAAAATCCCCCCCTCAAAAGGATGACAGAGTGAATAATCTGTTCCCTTCATTTTTTTTCCCCACCAATTGGACTAATCTTTCACACATTCTAGTTAGTTTTCTCATTCTTTGATGGTTTAGTTTGCCAGACATAATGGTAACAGATGGTCTAAATCAACTTTGCTGTTTAGACTAGACCAGTCTCATTTTAGCTAACTGGTATAAACAGTTTTATGTAGCACGTTGAGAGGCTTTTTAGTTTGTTTGCTTCTTACTGTATTTGCCTCTCTCAAGCATTTGCCAACAGTAGTAGCAGTTGTGCTCTTTGAGTTTCTTTCTCGGCAGTACCTTGGAAATTGGTCTCTTTTCTGGCAACTTCAGTTTTTTGCTTTATGGTTCCTTAGTAAGAAGCTGAAACGCTTGAGTTGGCAAATACTGAAAAAGCATGTACAGTTTTTTATTCTAAATGAAAACTTAGTCATGGTTTTTGCTGAGTTACATACTAACAGCCATAAGCTAAACACTCAGGTAATGCAATGGCAGAGACAGAGGTTCTTTCTCCTTTTTTTAATCTGCTTTTCAGAATTTGTGTACATTCATCAGTGCGGCCAGTAAGCTGGCTCAGCTGCAGTGTCTCTGGCAGACAAAAGATTCTGGACAAGTCAGCGCCTTGACCTGGAGTATGTCTGCATATACCTGCGCAAGTAAGCGATGGGCAACTCGGTGTGAATCACTGAGTTTTCCTCTTTTAAAGCAGTACCTCTTAATGCCTCATTCAGTAGGTCTTTACTCAATCATAGTACGTAGAAATACTGCCTAATAGGGTTCCCCTTAGTACCAACTTCTGGGACTCAGATACAACACAGGGTCTTGAAGTCAAGTTTTATCATTGAGACCAATGACATTTTCACTTAGAAAACATGCAAATATTCTCAAGATAACATGGTACAGTTGAAATAACTGAGTGTCTTTACAAAGAAACAATTTCAATGTTGTAGGATTTAATAAAATTACTAGTGATCCAGCATGAAAAGGTACTAAATTTCAAGTTGGACAACACTAATTCTGAGAAGTCATCAGTATCTGAAGGGGGCCTATAAGGATGCTGGGGAGGGACTCTGCATTAGGGACTGTAGTGGTAGGACAAGGGGTAACGGGTTCAAAATTAAACAGGGGAAGTTTAGATTAGATATAAGGAAGAAGTTCTTACTGTGATGGTGGTGAGGCACTGGAATGGGTTGCCCAAAGAAGTTGTGAATGCTCCATCCCTGGCAGTGCTCAAGGCTGGTCTGGACAGAGCCTTGGGTGGCATAGTTTAGTGTGAGCAGGGAGGTTGGAACTAGATGGTCTTAAGGTCTCTTCCAACCCTAACTATTCTGTGATTCTAAATAGGTACACACTTACTGCTAAATACCTTTAATACTGTGACTATGTGTAAATGTTTCTAAACAGAGGAAATTTAAGAACATACAAAGAACAGTGATTTGTACAGTTCATGTGTTAACTAGCCAGTGGTTTGCATGAACAGTTCTTCTATAGCTATTTGTCAGAAGTCTCTTTGTCACATTCGCAAAAACTTGTTCATAATGTTCTTACTGTAAAACACAGTGATGCCAGATGTATTGCCCTGTGAAACATAATTATGAATTGTGGTATGTTCACTGAACAATGGCAGTGAACTTTCTAAATGGTTTTAATACGCTGCAAATGTGAAATAATTAACGTTTAGATTTGTTGTGGGTAGGAAAGCTGGATTCCTCTTATTTGCAGAAGCCTAAAAGCAATCATGTGAACATTCACAATGGCCAAGTCATGCTAACTTGGCTGTGGGTGTAGCTCAGTAGCAGCTACCAGAGGAGAGAGCTGAACAGAAAGAGGAGCAGTAAACTGCCTACATCCAGTACAGTGAGATAGACAGAAAATTCTAATTATATCAGTCATTTTCTCATTAAAAAAGACCATTAATACAATGTCACACAGCTTTGACAGCTTGATCTCCGAAGCTAAAACAGTGATGCACAGAAAGTGGGAATATCTCTACAGAGAATATTATTATGCAAGTATTTTACAAGATTATCCTCTATTGAAAAATAGGTATTTCATCATTTTTGAGGGTATAAACATGTTGTATCTAATACACTAATAAGAATTCATTCAATTTACAGCAAGGATATTTACAACCATAGTGACTACAAATGATCTTGGGGGTGAGTAAAGCCTGGAATTGCCCGTCTTTCCAAGGTAATGCAGTTATCTGGTCTCAGAAGACCAAACCATGAACTTGGTATACTGGCATTGTGAGGGAAGAAGTTAAAGCTAAGAAAGGAGCACAGGGTTACACATCAGTGAAATACCTGGGGAAAACAAACAAACAAACCTGCTTACGCTTATCGCTTGGTGACAAGTGGTCCAGAATTATTTTTTTTCAAACAGTAAAAGCATTACAAAATCAACTTAATTATGAAAGTAGCAGAATGAATCATTAAAAATCTTTAATATTTAAATACATAAATAAATAAATTTAGTAAAATACAACTTAAACTGTGATAATTGTTAGTTTTTCCAATAGTAAGTGCTTCTTATTGTGGGGTTTGTGCAATAAAAAATTCTTCTAGAAATCTAAAGTTCTAGAACTCTTAGTATATCAATAGTTTTAGGCACATTCAGAAAGTTTATTGCAGGCTGAAAATGAAATAGTAGGCTGGTAAGATATAAAAAAACTGGCTTAAAATATGTAATTTGCATCCGCCTTCATCATAAAGCAGATTCATTTAACAGCTGCTTACCATCCTGACAAAACTGAAAGAGCTAAGGAATACAGCAGATTTTTCAGTAAGTGGTTCAAAACAAGACTTGGTGGATGTAAGACAAGTAACAAAATCACATTGTACTTTATTTGGTCCTTGTTCTGGTTCAAAACTCGTATTTCATCAGAAACAGCACTAGAATGGATTTATTTATTTTTTTAAGCAGCACACTGCAGCACAATAAGGCTGTGGTTTTACAAGCAGTTAAAGTGGCTCTTCCTCAGGAAAAGGAAGTCCCTGGCTCAGTCACTCATTTCCACCCCTATGCTTGCTGCTTTCTCTTTGCCAGAGGAAGTCTGTGGGGCCAGGCAGTTAACTGGCTCACCAAAAAATTGGCGTAATGCACACGCAGACGTTTAGTCTAGATCAGTTATCAAGTTCAGTTTGCCCACAGCTACACACTTACACTGATGAGAGAAGCAAGAGAGGTGTATTTAGGGGAGGAGGGAAGGGAGAAAAACATCCTGAATGTAAAAAGCTGGCTCTGGTTGCAGCTGCTTTTAAAAATTCAGCACAGGATGTACTGGGGCATGAAAAAGATGGCAGCAAACATTGATGCTGTGCTGATCTAATGGGAAATTAAAATTTAACTTCTAACTGAACACTTTGGCATGGTGTATGAAACTGTCAAATATCACATATTTCTCAAAATAAATCTTGTGCACATTTCTGTGAATATTGCAGATATCAAATGTGTATTAGCAATACCTACACTTCCAATTGTGCACTCACAGGCAGAGACTTTTTTTGGTTAAAAACCCTACTTTTTTCTCAGTTGTCAGATTTTCTCTCATTAAAATCAGACAGATACAAGTATTTCCTGTCTCCCCAAAGTCTAAACTTAACAGGTGACACTACAGAATAATCCCTTTATTGTAAACAACACGCACAGTTACAAAGGGCACGTGAGAGGAAACTGAGTTTAATTTTTGGTGTAAATATACATTTTTATGAGGCTACTCCAGACTTCTACTGTTAAAGGTACTGTAGCATATTATTTTTAACTATAAATTTTAAGTTAAATGCTGTCCTCTGCTATATTTACTCAAATTGCTTCTGTGTTCCTGAATTAATTGACTGAAAAGAGTTGCAGAATGGGACCCAGCCTATTTGCAGACCAGGGAAGATTACAAAACAGCTTGTCCTCTGAAAATGACCACAGTTGACATGTTTTGATTTATGCTTACAAGATATTTTTTTTTCTTCCTTTTAGTTCTCATCCGTTTCATAACCATGCTCATTCTCAATATTTGGGTCACAGCCACAGTCCTGCACTACAGGAAGACTAAAAAGACTGATTAGAAGACACTCCTCAGCACATACCACGGTTACCATCAAAACCCTTGACACAGTTAAGGTTAAACAACAGAAGAAAGGTCGAGGAAGCTCCCTGTCTCTCTCTTAAGCCTGGTATTCATCCCTAAGCATACTTAGTACAGTCATGCTTGTTTTAGAAATAATTCTGCTAAGATAGATACTTAATTTAAGCAGCATATTTTTATTCGTCATTTAAGACAAGCTTCACTGGTATCACATTTTCTATGGGATTTTTTACTAAATGAACAAGGTATTTCATATTTAGATGTTTATATATTCTCGTATCACTTCAGTACTTCTGGTTACATATATGCGATTTTCTTCAATTTTGCACCAACATAGCAACTCATCTTTCTTCATCTGCTGTATGAAAAACAACAGATGTTTGTCTTCCTGCAAGCAACTCACTTAGTTTAACTATCTGTATTTTAGGATGAAGAAAACTAAAGGCCAAATCCAAAATCAAGTTCTAAATGTGTTTTGCTAAGTCACAAATCCAGCTGGGACTGTTGTGCTTACATGAAACACTTAAATAGCAGTTTGTACAGCTGACACAGGATAGCCAGCCACTTTCCTCAATACACCCAGTTTTGATTAGGATAAGAGTAAAACCTCTGCTCTGAATTCTAATTTTTCAACCTGAGCTCTCTCATTCACTGAACATACGGTTTTGGGAACAGGAGAGACTAGAATGTGTAGTAATTAATGAAATTTTGAACAACAGTGTTAAAAACTGCATTCAAACAGGAATTCCTGAACCGATGCCCAGACTCCCCAAATGCAGTCCCTATGGAGAGTGGCCTAGCCGCACGTGCACTTTTAGGTGCGCAGCATTCATTCCTCCCCAGTGGTTCACAGTTAAGATACTCCTCTGTGCTCTGTCAGTTTTTAGCCTAAGTTTGCTGAAGAGCATACAGGCTTCACTTACATTTTTACTTTGCAGATGCTAATCAATATGCATACTGGCACAGGTTGCCCAGAGAGGTGATGGATGTGAATGTCTTCATCCCTGGAGACATTCAAGGCCAGGCCAGATGTGGTTCCGGGCAACCTCATCTAGTTGAAGATGTCCCTGCTGATTGCAGAGGGGGTGGACTAGATGACCTCTGAAGGTCCCTTCTAACCCAAACTATTCTATGATTCTGTGATATTTAAAAAGGTAAAATCTTGAGAACTATTAACAGACCTGGAAGTAATGCCTTTCCAGTCAAAACTCCAAACAATTTGATTGTTTGGAGAACAATCAAAATTCATTTTCCAAAATGAAAAGATAGGTATTTCATGAGTTCTTACACTATTATTGATGATTGACAAGTTAAAATCATGGCACCCTTGATCTTGACACCCTTGATAACTAGTGACAGACTGCACTGACGTCACTTGAGGCAGGTTTTCCTTGCAAGACACTGAATCACAGGACTCTTGTGGAAGAGGGGGATTTCCTCTGCAACAGCAAAAGTAGCTGTTTGTGCCAGAGCACACTCCAGTCAGACTGAGACCTCACCATCAGAGAGCACAGCTGCTCTTTCCCATTTGAGTGGGAAAGTGCTGGGAAGTGGACATGATTTCACGTATCTCACATTCTTGAGGGCAAGCTCGAAGATGAACACTTTTCACTGCTCCAGTAAAATGTATGCATGTCTCTATGTTGGTTGAGAGAGTAACTGCAAATATCCTGTTACTGATTATAGTAAAGCTGTGTAAGATACCTGAAGTGGTCTAAATGGTGGCAGGTGGCATGTGATGTATTTTCCAGGTCTTGTTAATAAATGCTATTCTTCATGACCAATCAATGTCATTCTTACAGTTAAGTTTCATTCATTTAATTCATTTAATTTTTATTTTGTTTCAGTATATGGAGAGAAAATTAAATACTCATTATGGGTCATTAATTGGCAGTTTTCACCTTAATACTTGAAACATCAGGCTGTGCATTCACCTGCAAAATGCTAAGGAGCTCCAGCATCTGAAAAGAACAAAACACTTCCCATCTCATTTTCTTAACTAAAGCCTCTTCTTGATAAAGATTTGTGTAAAGTCCAAACCTTCTCTGTTAGTGACTTCTTTTATACGCCTGAATGATGCTGTAGCAAATTGAAGACCTCCATTTTCAGTTTGAGGATCAGCACTGCAAGTTGGTTTTTTTTCATCATAAAATGCTGAAAATGTAATTAAGAAAACTTCTCTACACATTACTTAACATATTTTTAATAAAGCATTTTAGAAACCTGTGGGGGGGGGAAAAAAAAAGACTGAGGAATTCACAAACTTAAGGTAATTTTGTGGACTTGGAAAGCTGGACCACGAGTTCTCATTCAAGCTGCAAGAGATATGGAACAAATCAGAAGGTAGCAAAAGTTCTACACACTTTTTTTTTTTTTTTTCCCCCAGAGAACAATTTCTGGTACTTTGGAGAGGCAGACATACGCTCAAGTCCTGGGCAAGCCCTAAGAGAGCGCAGCCCCTGTGGTTTTCCAGTACATAAACTGTAACCTCCATGGCTGGGTTAAAGGACAAGACACAAGGGGAGGATAAATTTTGTTAAACTTGTCAGTGAACAGCATCGGGAGAGGCCAGCAAATTGTTTGCCACATGATGCAGCAGCAACCCAAAGGCAGGAAGGGCCAGACAGCACTGCAGATTTACTGCAGTGTGGGTAAGGCAGGAAGTGTCTGTCATTCTCAGGGCAGGAGGTGACATGTCTCCATTGGCAGGTCCTGCTCAAGTGCCTGGTTATACACTTAGTATCTCCCTGCACCAGTTCATAACATGCTCACAAGGTAATGCAGCCTTTCCTGTCCTGGTGAGAAAGTGCAGGTCCTGCCAGGACTGTCAGTGTGAGCGTTCTTGACTGAGAGGACAAGGTCTGAACTCTAGTGCAGCCCACCAGGTAACCCCAAATATCTCCAGCCATGAATACGATGAGCTGCAACTGCGTTTGATAAGCTACAAGCTGTACTGAGCCACACGTTTAACAGTCAGACAAAGTGTTTATCCTGAGACTTACTACCCCCAAAAAGAGTGAGGGCATGATTCCATAGACAGCAGGTTGCTGGTCTGAAAGTGAGGATACAGACAATGGAAAACAAGTACAGTTTACTGTTCCCAAAAGCCTACTTCTGAACTGTCCTCAGTGAACAGGAACGTTGCACACAAATGCAGACCCATCCTCTCCCCTACCCTATGGGCCTCTGTGATGCTTAGCACTCTGCGCAGAGTAACACCATGTAGACATACCTGTTCCTTGTGTTACGCTAATCCAGCAGAAGACACCAGTGCCTGGACTGCTTGGAAGTCCCTGTCCCTGCCTGACCCTTGAGCCTTTTCCACTGCCTTATGCTGTGCACACAGCTGCTCCATAGCCTGATTCTGCCAACCTGAACTACTACAATATGACTGAAAGGAATGCAGTGGGGAGGTGGACACACAACTCAACTGCTGGAGCTCAAAACTGGATTTTAGAGTGGGTTGACTCTTTGGAGAACGTCATTCACTATTAGCTAAAAGGTCCTAAACAGCATATAATGTGTAGAAAGTCTTCATTCACTCCTTTAAATGAGGTAAAATGACACTTCCTGCACTGAACAATCATTATCCATTTAAGGACATATGTAATAGGGAAAAAGAAAAAAGGAAATAACACCTCAGAGCCCACAGGAAGAGCTATTACAAAAGAAGAGTTACACAGATGTGGAAATCAGTTTAAATTAGGTGGTTTCCCAGCCATGTTTTTTCTATGATGATAAACAGTAATTACTTCCCTGCTAATTCTTTTCAAGCTGGTTTGTTTTATTCCTTTCCAGATTCTTTGATATTTGAGATTCATATGAAGCAGAACATGAAACAATTCGTATGAAGCAGAACATGAAATGTTACCTTCATCACTAATAATGGTTTAAGGATGTCCAGTTTGGGATGTAAGCAAGCTGAAAAAAAACCTTAAAATGGGATGTTATTAAATTCTTGGTTTGCACTGAATTTAATTTGCTTGATTGTGAGCCAGAGTTCTCTAAGACACTTAAAAGAGTTCTCGGAGATGATGGCTGTTGAGGTCAAGTAGGTGTCTGGGAGTCACAGTACGTATCACTGCAAGAACCTGCCAGCTCATCACTTGTGCTGGATACAACTGTAAGACCGTGGCAACTTCAGAGACCTGAGTCTAGAGGGACCTCGGGTGCTTCCTGCCAGATAGCAAGACCAGGCATATAGACACCTTAAAGTTGTCGACTATCCCATTCTACCTTGGAAGTTGTTTGAGGCAAGCACCATCTCTGTCCCAGAAAAAAAATCCAGTCTTTGCACCAGGGTAAAATAAGCAGGTTTTTACACTACATCATACTTTTGCTGGGACAGCCCTGTTACAGAAAGTGTTTAATCATCAGTGACTAAGACAAATATTGCTTAGTTCAGGAATATGCTCTTCTCTCAAAGACTTTAAAAGGTTACCACTGGACAGTAAGGAAACAATGTAATTTTGAGGAACTAATGCTTAAAAGTTCTTTGCAATCCATAGATCAGCAGGTGGAAGCTCTGTCTCGAGCAGGACAAGTAAGAACAGAAGAGCAGCTTTGCTGCTCTTTTGTGTCCTGGGTACAAAACCAGAAGGCAGAAGGTTCGTGTACATCATACCATTTGCCAATAATCTCTACACTGCAGCTCAACACAACTCATGCTGTTCTTTTGTTCTGGGACAAACTGCATGAAGGAGAACAGAGGAGTGCCACAATACAGTAATACACTACATTTCCTAAAATGACCAGCTTAAAAGGGCCCCAGGGATTCACAGTATTATGTGGGCAAGCCAAGGAGAGAAAGAGCAACAGCCTCAGCCCCTGATGGGCTGCCAAAAGAGCTCCTGAGGAGCCTGTGCCTCCTCCACACACAGGCTTTGCTTGGCTTACTTTTGAGCAGCCCTCACCTTTCCCGTATCTGCCAAAGCACTTGCCTATGTGTTTAAATACTTCAATTAATTACCAGCTTCTCAAGTTCAGGAACTATTTTACCTTACTCAAATAGTTTATTTAAAAATATATATATAATATTCTCCAATTCAGAAAAGAACTTCCCACAAAGTAACTTTTATATATATATATATATAAAATATTTATGCATTCAGTGAATGGAAACAGTTTTACTGTATACATTTTTAATGTTGTACTCTATGCAAATCTGCATTGCCTAAAAATATACCATACTTCTGTAAATCAAAACAAGCAGGGAAGAACCACTGTAGCTGTGTGCTGGGTTATAATACCTAACAGAAATGGTATGAAAGTTCTAGTTTTGAATTTCAGAACTCACAAACAACAGTTTACTTTGCGAGTGCACAACTAGAAGACTGAATACATTCTGGCTCTGTTAAGCAGAACTGTAGCAGAGGTTACAAAATGTAAATATATTTATTCGTTTTCAGTATTTCAGTGTTTCCAAGTCCACCCTTCATGATAGTGTTAAATAAATCATGGTCCTATCCTTCCAAACAATTCAACACGCTTTAAAACAAAATACAAACAAACAATTTTTAAAGTGAAATGTCCTCCTTCATTGAAGTGTTAGATCATATTTTAAATTACTGCACTCCCACACAATATTTTTTATATATATATATTTTAAATATATATATATTTATATATATAAAGAGACCAAATAGGAGACTACATTTTTTTTACTGTCAATATGTTTAACATCGCATACTGTAGTTGTATAAAACATGCATTTTCTGGGATAATTATGAACACATCATGAATGAGCCCACATAAATTATATTTTTTGTACAACTCCAAGTTAAAAAAAAAAAAAAGTCGGATTAAGTGCCTCTGAGGCCTTTTCTTCCCAGCTGTCAGTTCTCAAGACACACTACTGGAATATTTATCTATGCCTACAGCTATGTGCTAGAGAACCAGATTTAAAAGTTTAAAATACACCTACAGTATGTTTTACTTAAAGATTGTGACAGTCCTCGGCTATTGTGTTGTGAAATGTAAAAATAGTCACAGATTCTTTTCTTGTTTTCCAGAAATAAAAAACACATCTAGGAGAGTATGCAAAAACAAGGCAAAATGAAGTTTCATAGCACTTAATGAGGGTTAATATAAGTCAATAACTAATATTGAGGTTCGTAAAAAGGGCTGGATGAGCAGTTACATGTACAAGCAAATGGTCAGGTAACTCCAATGGTATCAGATGTTGTTTCTGTAACCAACACTTCCTCCACCCTTAAAACCAGTCGATATACATTCAAAATAGGCTGACATTGATATACTTACTAGGTGTAAAAATAGTGCACTATTTTTTCTGCCACAAAGCAAAATTGCATCCTAAGAGCTGTTAAACTTTCTTCTTTTTCTTAAATAGAGAGAATGGGCAAAAAACTTGGAAGAAAAGAATTAAATTAAGGCAATTAGACAGGTAAACCAGGACTGCCCATGATGATGTAGCTGAAACTAGTATATACTTCAAACTTGTACTAGCTGCTGAACACTGACATGCAGCTTCTGATAGACGTGTATGAATGATATAAACTTCAACATTATGGCTTTATACAAGTGCATAGTTGCAACTGCAATAAGTAACGGTATCTGATTAATAAGCATAAAAAAATAAAGTGGAAAGATTTTTAAAACCCTCTTGCAGTATTACAGTACAATATATATACACAGTATAATGGTCACTTCTTACAGATGCAGTCTGTATCACTGTGGTGGATCCTCCTCCTGTTTTTCTTGCAGACATGCTGGTGGCATCTTTATGAAAGCTGAAAAGTCAGTTTCTTCCATTTTTATATTCATTTCTCTCGATCCTTTTGTGAAATGTAGTGTATGTGTCTTGCCAAGAAAGCTTTTGTGGAACACAGTTTAAAAGGTTACCTAATATATCGTTTTACTATTTACCAGCCATTCCTCTTTTGATCAGTCACTCAGGGGAATACAGGAAAACCCTCAGAGATTAGTAATTTATATTGCAGCAAAAATGTAAACCTCTGATATATATAACACAATCTCTCAGGAAAATATATATATTTTTAATATATTTTGGGATATGTTTCAGTCTTGCTGTAACAGGAAGAAAATTATCACCTCGAATTGTGTCTGCATTCATGGAAAGCAGTTAGCTGAAAAAGAAGCAGGAAGTTTGGTCAGTAAATGCAGCAAATGTAAATCTGACACAAATATACTTCCTCAGAGTCTTCATTTAAGGTGGGCTCAGCATATTTGTAGAAAACATCATTCCTCTGCA